GTCACCGTATGACCGGTCCCTTCTCCCCCAACCAGGACAAGCCCTCTGGTCCACTGGATGGAACAGAAGCTGAGAAAGTGGTGACATGAGATAAATTAACAACCGTCCTGAAGCCACATGGCTTTCCCTGCTCACCCCTACTCCAGAAACCAGCATCCAGGGCCAGCAGGGTTCACACAGCAGTGCAGGATGGGAAGAGAAGCAGACTGAATCTCACATCCCCAAGTTTGCTAGCAGACCTCTGCGGCTTGGCTGCACCCAGGTCACAGCACTTACCCACCACTCTGAGCTTGGTGCTGGAGGCCCAGGGCTCTGAAACCAAAGGGAGAAGACATAGGATCTGCCCTCAGGGGACTCAGGCCAAGTACAGAAAAAGCACAGGAGGTTTAAACTCAGTACTTTAAGCCTGGTGCTGGGACAGTGGCGGCAGCAGCACCACTTAGGAGCTTATCAGTGGGAGCTTATCAGGCGTGCAGAGTCTCAGATCCCAACCCTGACCTACTGAAATCAGAGTCTGTATTTCAACAAAATCCTCGGGTGAGTTGGAGGACGCTACAGTGAGAAGCAGCATCATAACAAACAAAGCTTCAACCAAATGCAATGAGGTGGCCAGTGAGGGACAGAAGATGGTGGCCAGAGTGACCCAAGCAGTGTTGTCAGGAAGGTGTGGCTCACAATAGGACTGCCTTAAAGCCTGGGAGAAGAGGGGAGATGGACAGGCAGACAAACCAATACTGTAGGGAGCTCCCTATGCAAGGTAGGCTACCTGACAGGCTAAAGATCTGCGGCCATAGCACTGAGGTACTAAGGGACAAGGCCAGGCAGGGGAGAAGACAGCCCTTAGCCCCACATGCTACCGCCAAACCAGAGTACTGGAGCCTGGCCACAGAGACAACCAGGCCTCTCTACCCAGCTTGTCTGAGGGTCGTGGCTCTCGGTTTCAGCAATTCCTGAGCTTCACCAGCCCCAGTCTTGTGAGGTGGCCGTGCTTCACAGCTAGAGAACCAGCTGCCCACTGTACCACCACAGCTCTGCTCAGGACCAGGAGAAGAGGGCAGCTCACTATGACTTCTTACCTCCAGGTGGTACCCACCGTTGACATAGGGAAAGGCAACAGAACTTGCCATTTTCTATGTGTGAAAACTGAGGCTCAAAGAAGGCTCCTAACTCAAGCAGGGCCTCCTGGCAGACAGGGCTGAGAGGTGATGTGAGATAAGCAGTGACAATAAGTGTATTTCAGGACCGGCACCAGGAAGTCAGGACAATACCTAGGACCTGCTAGGCCATTGTACCAGTGTCCATGATTTCAGAGCCCAGCTGTTTTTGCCCCAAGGTAAAGATATTTTAGGCCCTTCCTTCCTCTCCCTTCCCTTGCTCACAGCTTTAGGAGGCTCAGGCCAAGAGACAGTAGAGGCAGGGGAATGAGAAAAGCCAAGCTTCCGCCTACCCCCATTCTCAAGGCTGAGCTAGATTTGAGGGCACAGCAGAAGTCCCAGAACTGACATCTTGCCTAGGGACTTCCCTGCTGGCCTCCACATTCACCCTCACAGCCCCCAAGACACCCACTTAGACAGAAATTAGGTACATACATCCAGGCCAACCCTGGAGCCCAACGCTTAAAGGCTCACTAGCCTCTGGGAACAAAACCAGCTACACCTTCCCTTGCTGTCCCCACTCCCTTTCTCCCCTCCCACCTTCTTGGAAAAACAGAATTATCTAGACACTACACTTTATTTGTTTCAAGTTCCCACCGCCAAGCCTTGACTTCTAGGACATGGCACCTGAGGAAGGAAGGATCCATTTGGGACCAAGGAGCCACGCCAGCCTTAGGCAGAAGCCTGGGGAGCAATGTTCTCAGGGATTGTCATGTGCTGGCCTCTTCCTTTAACCATAAATATAAGTTTCAGAAGGCAAATGGGGAACAGAAGGGGAGGGGAGGGCAAAGCCCTTGTAGACTGGAGGAGCCATGTGGGTAGGTAGGACACAGTGTTGGGGGTGACAAGAAGCAGAGGTAGTCAAGAAAAGCTTACTATTAGTCACAGCCCAGGTTATGGTGGTCCCTCATAGCAAGTCCACTCCAGCCCTGGAAAAGGCATCCAGTCTTCCTCCCCCAGGACAGATGCCAGAAGCAGCCCATCACAGCCAGCTTTGAACTCTAAACCACAAACTCAATCTATCATGGTCTGCTGGCAATTCTTTATTAAACCAATTCTGCTGGATCAATGCTTTCTGCCCGTCAAAATGATGAATAAATCCTCAACTGGCCTGGGCAATGCTTGTAGAAACTCTGGTGAAACTGGAGGAGAGCAATGATGATTGGTTCCATACAGGGGCCCAACGCTGGTGGCTGAAACTCTAGGAACCAATGCTTGGGTGCTGACTAAGGTGGGAGTAGATTAGTCTGGGTTGTGTGATGAGTTCTCTAAGCTTAGGCAACTTAGCCAGGCCCTTGCCTCTTTGACCTGAAGATGAGGCTAGTTATTTTGGCCTAGAGTCAGGAGAGGTATGACCACCACCCCTTTAGACACGCATACACAGAGAGGATCTTTCTTGGATTTCTTTTTCCCACCAGGCCCACCATTGCATAGCTACAAGGCTGCACATAGGGATGCACACTTCTCACCACCAGTCCCTGATGCTTGTTGCACCAACCCAAATTCAAAGTCCAGTTAGACCTTTTTTCCCACTATCCATTTATCAGTCCTGTTGCATCCAATCTCTCCCTGTGTCACCCACCCTCCTCCCAACTCCATGTCCCAGGCAGCCTGCAGTTAAGTGGAAGGTTCCACAGCAGGGGGACTGCAGACTGATGCACCAGGAAGGGCAGAGGTAAGAACAGGAAAGTGGGAAGTTCCTTTGGATGAAATCTACCCCAGTCCTAGCACTTCCCCACCCCAATAAGCGAGGCCAGCAGGGCAAGACCCAGGGCCCAGAAGGTCCCGAATTAGTGCTTTTTGTTGATGGAGGCTAAGCATGCCTGGGGTTGGCAATGAGCTTGGTGACAAGAACTCTAAAAGGAAACTTTCCTACCACAAAGGCAGGCAGGGGTTGAGCACAGGAGGGAAGGGCCCCTCAACAATCTGAAGTGGATGATACAGGAATGGTCTGTTGCCACTACTGAGGTATTCAGAGGAGAAGCTTAGAACACCCAGAGAGATGAAGGAGACATGGTTCCTGCCCACTCCTCCCTGGCTTAGCTTGGGATCTTCAAGTCCCAGTCCTGGCCAGGAGGACTTCATTCTTTAGGAACCATGCACTGGAAATCCAGACACAGCTTCTGAGGGGAGGGTCAAGCATTTGCTCACAAATCTGATGACTATAGCTTTGCTCAGTCTGCCCCTTGGCTTCTTTGCCCTCTGGGAAGCCTGAATATTAGGGTTAGAAAGAGCAGTCCCTGGGGGGTGGTGGGGGGGAGAGAGAGAAAGAGAGAGAGCTGGGCACAGCAGCACACACCTGTAATCCCAGCAGCGGGGAGGCTGAGACAGGATATTTGCCAGTTCAAAGCCAGCCTCTGCAACGGCAAGGGCAAGGTACAAAGCAACTCAGACCCTGTCTCTAAATAAAATACGAAATAGGGCTGGGGATATAGCTCAGTGGTTGAGTGCCCCTGAGTTTAATCCCCGGTAACCAACCCTTCCCCTGGGAAAAAAAAAAAAAAAAGAAAAAGAAAAGAAAGAGCAGTCCCTCAAAAAAAAAAAAAAAGAGTGAGAGAGGGGCCTCTATTCACCACCTATTTTAAGCCATCCGGTGTTGTCTGACTGGTCATTCCCAACCAGAGAAATCTCTCTCATTGGATGGAAAATGGCTTTGCTCTCATTACAAATCCAGTTTCCCTGGAGTTTGCAAAGAGGGCTCTAGGTTGGCAAAATGCTCATTTTTATAGGCAAGCAAGAAGGCTAGTTAGGTGAGAGAGACAAATAGGGGGGAGGGTCCAGAGAGAGGGAGAATGAGAGAAACCCAGCTAAAAAGAATGACTGTTTCCCAGACTGTCATCTCAACCTGGTGTGTCAGGAAAGCCCAGAGGGGCAATGGAAGACCTCATCCTTGGCTTGGGTAAGGCCATCCCTGATGCCAACCCCAGAGGCAACAACAATCCCTCTTACATACATATGTCCCACAGGCCCCAGCTGGCATCGGCTGTTCAGTGGCATCTGATTCAGGTGATGTAGGAGGGGGCAGGGTCACAGGACAGCTGACTGGCAGTCACACCTTTTGCCTGCAGACCCACAACTGACATGAGAGATCTAGCAGTTACTAAAGCTTGGGCCACTCTGGTGGAGATGAGGCACTGGACCAGATTGGGGTCACAGGACAGCTGCACATCAGTCAGGACACCAGGCATCTTCACTGACCACTATAAGCAAGGTCATTCTGCACTACCAGGCTGGAAGCCAGATGCCCAGGGTGCCTGCTCTGGGTCCAACATTCAGCAAGGAGCATTGAACCTAGGGTTGAGAAAACGTAGGTGGCTTTCATCCTGGGCCTGAAACCCCAGTGACCTCAGTCATACAGGGGCCTGGCTGCAGTTTCCCAGGGTGCCAGGAGGATATTGATGTCTGCAGTCAGCACCCAAGGAATTGGCCCAGCTACTAAGAAGTCTGTCTCCCTTTACAGCCGTGCTCTGCAGGCTAAATGACCTGGAGCGCCTCTAGGATGGCCACCTTGACTCTGCAGCCTTGAGGGGGGAGGTGGAATGTGTGGCTTAAGATGGCAGAGCCCTATCCTGGCTGCAGGCAAGGCTGGGCCAGGCTCAGAACACCTTTTCAGCCTTCTCCAATGCCAGCCAGAAGAGACAAGACAGGAGCCCAAGAAAAGAAAAGTTCCCAGCGAGGTTCAGAAGGAGATCTGGGGGTGTCTGGGAGCGTAGAGGCGCCTGGCTTTTTTTGGAGCTCCCAGCGCAAGGAGGGAAAGTTAACTCCGGCCGGGAGACAACGGGTGGGAGAGGAAGCATGCCTGAGATCGCTCAAAGCACCCACAGGATACCCACCCGGGCATCTTACCTGAAGTCGCTGTAGGGGTGGATAATCCAAAACCCGGCTGACTTAACCCTCTCCTGCTCGCGCTCCACGGCTTTCTGGCTGCCGAACATCCTCAGCGAGAATTTGTTGACCCCGGGTTGAAGCATGGCCCCGAACTGGCGCTGCATGAAGCCGGCCTGGCCCAGGCGCACCTCCGCCTCAGGGAGGATCTGGTCGCTCGCGGCCGCGCCTCCCTCCACTTTGATAGCAGTGTCCGTGGAGGGCTGCTCGCCGGAGGTGGAGGCCGGCTGAGGCGGCTGCTGGGGCGGCGGTGGCGAGGCTGCGGGCTGCGCCGCGGCACCGGGGCGCTCGGGCTCGGCCGCCAGGCCTGGGGGCGTCCTGTCCTCGCCGGGGGACGCGTCGCCCTCCGCGATGAGCCGCCGCTCCTCCGCGGAGTCATGCAGGTGCCCATGACTGCTGCCGCTCCCTACTCCACCGCTGCCGCCGCCCCGGCTGCCCAGCGAGGCCAGGCTCCCGCGGAAGCGCCTGCAGTCTCCGTTCGTACTGGACTTGCCCGCGCTGCGGGCCGGCCCCTCGTTGTCCGCCGCCCCGAGGGCCGCACCCCGAGACTCCGTGCTGCCCGCAGCTGCCGAGGGCGAGGGCGAGGGCGAGGGCGAGGGCAGGGGACGCAGTCGGATGCTCCTGCGGCTGGGATCTTGGCGGCCCCCGGCACCCTCCTCCTCTGCGTCCTCTTCCTCGTCCATGATCCACGCCTTGGCCCCCACCTGCTGCGGGAGGCTGTAGAGCCGCTTACGCATGGACGGCGGCAGCTTGTCCATGGTGCCGGGAGCCGGGACCCAGCCGGGGATAGGGGTGCGGGTGCGGAGCTGGGGGCTGGCTCCAGGTCCGCCCGCCTGTCAGTCCGCCTGTGGGGACGCGTCCTTCGCCGCCAGCGCGGGGCTGCCTCAGGAACCCATACTCGGGAAGGCTGCGCGCCACGGGGTGGCTCCCAGTCCGGCTCCGGGTCCCCCGGCTCGCCGCGCTGCGCCTCCTCCCAGGCCGGGCTGGGCGCGGGGACCCCGCGCTCCCTCCCTATTCCTCCCTCCCGCGTTCAGGGGCGCGGCGCGCGGCCCGGCTCCAGGCGCCCCGCCCCCGCGGGGAACAATGGGCGCGGGCAGAAGCGGTGCTGCGGTCGCGGTGCTCCAGGGACCTCTCCAGAGCGCAGAGCGCGCTGCTCTTGCGCCTCCCCGGCAAGCGTCCCGCGGGCTAGCGGGCTGTTAGTCTGTCTCGCCGCCGGGGCTCTGTGGCAGGTGCCTCGCCAGCTAGCCTCGCCTCCTTGACTGAGCTGGGCCGGCCGGTCCCGGGGCTCCCGCCGCAGCCGAGCGGAGCCCAGGGGCCCGCCGGGCTTACATCAGCGGCCGCCTCCCCCGGAGCGCCCTCCGGCAGCTCTTGGGCTCCCGCGCCCCGGAATATTCATGAAGCCGCCGCAGCTCGCGGGTTGCCATAGGAGCGGCTCCCGCAGCCGGGCCTGCCTACCTGGGCTTCTTAAAGGGGCAGCGGCGCACGGGCTGGGGGGTCGGGAGGGGGGGCAGGGGCGGGCTCCGCCGTGGGCGCGGGGTGGACCCTTTATGGGCCTTAGGGACCGGGTTAGAAGGCGTCTTTACTCCCGCTCCCTCAAATATCTCTCCTTGACCAAGGGCTGGGACCGCCCCCCGCCAAGTGTAGGGCTTTGGCTTATGTTGCAAAATCCCCACCTCAAGATTGGGGGCGGGGGCGGGGTTTTCCGGTCTCCTTCGAGCTCTGGGCTCTCCTTTCCCTGTCCGTTTTGCTTCTTGCCTGGGTCTCCGACCCTCCCCCGGGGAGGCGTGTCGGTTGTATGGATGCGGAGCTCCTGCCTTCCCGCAACCAGCCTGGAGAGGGGGTTTCCGGGAAACGCGCTGCGTCGGGGCGGCTCCCAGGGTTTTCCAGTGACACTAGCGGGGGGCGAACCCCGCGCTGGTCTTTCCCATGCGAAGCCTCCCGGCGGCCCAGCTAGAAGGGCGTAGGGGAAATTCGCAAGGCACTCACAGGGCGCGCGGGTGGGACCCAGCCCTTCGAGGTAAGACTTCGAGGAAATGCGTCCGCAGCAGCCACCAACTCGGGATCCAAAGGCCGGATCCCCCACCCCCCGCACGCGCCTCTCCCCGGGAGGATCTGATGGGGTTTTGCGAGATGAGCGGGCTGCAACCCGCAGCTTGTGTGAGGGCTCCTGTGGTGAGCTGGCACTAGGGGACTGGCTTTGGATCACCTTCTCGCTATGTTCCCATTCCATCCAGACATCACCTATGTGATCCAGCCTAGGGGAGTTCCAACTCCATCCAGACCCCCTATAAGCAGCTGCACAGCCCCCACTCCGTATGCTACCCCCTCTTCAGGCCAGCTGAAGAATCCTGCTGGGTGTCCTCCCTCCCGGTGTTACATGCTGCAGGCTTAAGGACAAATCCCACTAGCTCAGCTTAATGTATAAGCTCTACTCTCCAACACCCTGAGACAGTCTGAGACACAGATTAGCTCAGAAATGGGAAGAGGGGATAGATTGGGACTAGAAGAAAGCGGTTAGCCAGGGAAGGTTGCAGTCTGGTTCATAGTGAAGTGGATCCTCAACCAAGTCTGACAGGAAGGAGGCTAAAAGATCCCCGAACTCTGAAGAATAGCATGAAGTTTTTCTTAAATGATTTCTTAATCCAAATTCTTAGCCTACTGTGACCACCTCCCCCCCCACCCTCAGGGCAGGAATTTTGGAGGTAGGATAGGGGAATTGGGAAGTGTGCAGCCTTTCAGGGGCTGTTCTTCGACCACAGGACCTCCCAAGGGGGAGGGGATGACTAGGGTGGTGACATCACCCGTAGCTGGCATTTCTACTTTTGAGCAGCTCTGTTCTGACAGTTCTCTGCACAGATGCTGGGAGGCCTAATCCTTGAATGTCCTTGGGTCTCCTTGAGAAGGAATATTCTTAACTGGCTAAGAGCCCTGCCTGCCCTGGTGTACAAGCCACGAGGGGGGGAAAGACCTTTGTTTAGCTCACTTCTCTGTCCACTGGGTGCTAGTGTGCCCTAACCAGTTTCAGGAAGGCAGCCCACACAGGATCCTCAGTTACCCATGACAGGGCATCTTCTCCTCCAGAAAGGAACACTTTCCTGACCACCCAAATCTTGATCATATTCGGGCCCCCCATTCCCATGGTCCATGAACTCCCATCAACCTGAGTACCAATGACACAGCACATGCAGTTCATGTCCCTTCTGGACAGAGCTCCCCAGGGATAAGACAGGTTCTATTCATCTGAGACACCTGGGCACCAACACAAGGGTGGATAGGGAGCAGATCAGTAAGTGTCAACTCTAAGAATGTGTAAGGAACCCTGAAAGTTAGCTACTGTCATTGAAGGGAATTCTGGGAAAAGATGGAGGATATAGCCAAGACACAACTTTTGGGAACTGCTGCCAGTGGCTGGATAGAGGTCAAGGCCACCTAATTCTTCTACTTTGACACCTCACCTACCCTCACTTTGGCTAGCACCACCTATTCACAACCATCTAAGACAACTTCAGGTTCAGAAATGTCCATTAGAAATCAGGACCACAGGGAGACTGAGTCTCTCCTGTCTCCCTTTCTGAAAGTGCTAATGAAGGATGTCCATAGTATACCAGCAATCTGGGGAATAGAGGAGAAGGAAGAACTACCAATCCTGCCCTGAGGGGGCTCCATGTGGTGAGGAAGCTAGAATTATGCTCAGGAATAAAGGACAAAACTAGGGACAGGAAATCATGAGAGATTTGAGAAGGAAAACCTCACTGAGCTTGTTGGGTGAACTTCTTAGAGGTAGGGGTTATATTTGGTGAGAGACATGTGTCCAACACTTTATAGTTTACATATCATTTATTAAACCACATGAAATTGGCACAGAGAGGTCAAGTAACTTGCCAAAGGCCCATAGCAAGAAAATGGTAGAGCTGGAGCTTTGACCAAGAGTTCACAGGTCAGGTTCTGCCCTATAGCCCAGATGGTTCACACAGGTAGTGTGAGATAGGCACGGAAACATGAGGGAGGGGTAGTTCTGAGTCTGGCATGGCTGATAGAGGTAGCCAAGAATGGAGAGGGAATGGAGCTCCCACATTCCATACTCTTCCCATTGCTCACTCCCAGAATACCTGGGATCTGCTCTGGTTCCTCTAATTCCACTGAACTGCTGTGAGGAACTAAGGACCCCAGCAAGGGGAAGGGCCTGACTTAGGACTAGGATAAGGAATAGACCTGCTGTTCTCAGCATCAGTGGGGATACTAGGGCATAAGCAGGAGACCTGGGTATTCCTGGAATGCAAACCTAAAAAAGATCTGGATCTAAGAGAGAAGATGGCTGGGAAGGATGGGCTTCCTTCCCTGAAAGAGATACTAAATGTTAGTGAAATTCAGAAGACCTGGCGGAGATGGAGTAGGCATGTAGCTGATTATATATATCAACCTCAGACCTTATTTGGTAGGGACCTGGATGGGCATAGGGGGAAAATTCCAGAAGTTTATTTGCCTGTAGACCAAGGGCATTCTTCTTGCTTGAAGAAGCAGCTCCAGGATAGTGCAGTGGATCCCATACTACTCTGCAATGCCAAAATTTTGGCCAGTCCTGCTTGAAATGAAACACACACACACACACACACACACACAACAGTGTAGGATATTTTAGTTTGAGGTTGCCAACTGTCCTTTCTTAGAAGGCTGTCTCTATTCTGAGATTATATCCTTGCCACATTTTTCTGTGTGAAAATGCCCTTTTATGAAATCCTGGTGCTGGGAGATGATATTTGTTATGTCTTTGGCCAAATAAAAAGTTGGCATAGGGTTCTGTGTTTGTTCCTAAAAATCATTTTTGAAATGTTTTTGGTCTGTGAATTCCAAAAGTCTGTGCATCTCAGCTGTAAACAATAGAGCGCCATGCTGGAAAACAAAAGCTACGGAATGAAATTCTTCTCTGTCACTGGCTGCCTATGAAAGCCTCAGTATTCCTTATAGGTAAAATAGGTTTACTGATAATTTACCTCACAAGTTATTGTAAAGACTAAGTGAGAAAATGAATGCACCTAATATACAATCTCATTTGTAGCCAATTCTCATTAAACACGAAATGATAAAACTGTTGAATAAAACTTGCATTAGCCAGTGGAGGGGAAGACACTTGGCCTTTGGAATCCTATTTAGTTTACAATATTTATCCTAAAAATTGTTGTTGGGCCTGGCACAGTGACACATGCCCATAATCCCAGTGACCCGGGAAGCTGAGGCAGGAGGGTTGAAAATTCAAGGCCAGCTTGGGCACCTTAGTGAGACCCTGTCTCAAAATAAAAAATAAAATAAAAAGGATGTAACTTAGTGGCAGAGGTAAAGCACCCCTGAATTCAGTCCTCCATCTAGCGAAACAATAGCAACAACAATTTCCTGTTGGCATAGAGGAGATGTCTTATTATATAGGACTGACTGTTTCCTTTCAGTTCTCCATCCTTGGTAAGCCCTGGCTGAGTCTCCAGAAATGCAAACCTTCTTTCTGGGACAGATACTTACCCTGTCCCCAAGCCCTTTAGGCAGCTGCCTAAGTGGGATCAAGTGAGAACTGACCCAGAGTCCACACCCTTGAGAAGGCTGGGGAGATTGGGTGTCCATACATGGGTGCAACTTCATCTTTTATGGTAGATGTGGCCCTGCCCAGTGTACCTTCTGCTGTGCTCTAAAGCAGCTCTGCTCTGAAGGGTAGACAGGGCTCAGGGATATATAGACTTGCTGCTGGGAGTCCTGACTTGGAGATGAGGCATCTGAGAGAGACAGCGGGTATCAGCCTCATTCTTACAGGTTTTACTGGAAGTGGGAAAGAGCACGGGGGGGGGGGGGCAGGCTGCATCAGATATGGACGTACAGGGAAAATAAATCAACCAAACCCTTGGCCAAACCCTTGGGCACCCAATCCTGTGCATAAGACATACATGGCTGGCAGCTGAGAAGGCAGAGGGGTGCCCTAGCTTATCAGTGTCTGATCTGATTAACACAGAAGAAGGCCATCCCAGAGGTTTATAACTGAGGGTCAGAGAAAGTGGTTCAGAAGCTAGGAACAATGGATTTCCTAAGTATGATCAGAGTGGACTTCTTGGAAGAGGTAAATAGTAACCTGGGTTTTCTAGATAAAGTGTGTGTGTGTGTGTGTCTGTCTGTCTGTGTTTGTGTGTGTGTATGTGTGTGTTTACAGTGGAAACAATGAGTGGAGTAGCTTGGCAGAAATGAGTCCTGTGACATTCTCTCAGAAGGGTTAACAAAGGTAAGGGTAGGGCTAGGTGCCAATGTCCAATTTGGGGAACCACTAAGCTGTTGCTTAAGCTGGCTCTCAGAGAAAGTCTGCTGAGTCCATAGGACTGTATTGGGTCCCTCTGATCCCTCTCCTCCCCCCAGCACCCCCCACACACACACACGCACAGCCTATAAAAAATACCAAGAGCCCATATGCCCACCCTCCTCCT